CACAACCACCAGACCCCCTTTCTAGCCCTGCAATGCCTTCTTACTCTATCCAATCTATGGGGAATGGGGCTGTGTACACAGGAGAGAACCAGAGGGTTCAGCAACTCTGCTGTGGCAGACTCTTCTGCAAGAGTTCTGATGAGAGGCAGCAGGTGTTGCCCAACTGGCTAGAGTTGAAGCGCAGCTGATCTGCATAGCTTAGAGGAGACTAGTTGGCCTGGAGGGGTAGTGGCCTGTGGGTGATGGAGTAAAAGTGGTCAACAGGGCAGGGAGAAGAAGGCAGGTGGGGGCCATAACCGTCTAAGCAACAATCTCCACCTTTCTTTATGACCCCTAAGGGAATTGGTCCAAAGACCTACCAACCAGTGGACATTTGGGTTACAGCCCTGAAAATTATTTGAGCTGGTTGGGAAAAGGAAATTCAAAAAAGTACTGGACTTCCAGCTAATAAGTAGGTGCGTGTGTAGAGGGGGCAGTGGTGGGGGATGTCAGGGCTGGGGGTGGTTTTGTATTGAGTATTTAGGTTTGGGATCTTATTTGTAACCTCTCTATACCTACTGGCTAATCTTACTTAGAATGTATGGGTTGTCCCCAGTATTTAGAATCATGACTTGCTGCTGTTACCTTATAGTTTATCTTGTCTTATGGCAAGTGCTTGATGCCTGCTGTGTAAAAAAGCCCTCACTAAGTGCCCCATGGGGGCTGTGGTCCTGCCCTTGGCTGCTCACTGTCCACACAGTCTGGTCTCATGATCCTTCCTCCTCATGAGTAAAAGTGCTTCTTTCATCCTTGGATATTTCTCTGCAGATAACACAAGCGGTAGACTAGAACATTTCCAAAATAATATTTTTATTGTAAAAATATCATTTTTATAGGAGGAAAGTTAAAATTTTCTCTTAACAAAAAAGAGTTTCACTCAGATCTCATTACTGTCAATTTGATATAAATTCTTAGAGTCTTCTTTTAATGCATACTTATCTTTCAATAAACATTGAGTCAACTGCATTTACAAAATGAATCACTCTGTGTATATGGTTTTGCAACTTGTTTTTTCATGCACTAATACTTTGTGAATAGTTTTGCACGGATAGACAGAAAATCATTCCTTAGCTGGGTCTTGGAAATGACCTGGCACTTTTTTTTGGATGCTCTCTTTAATTAAAACTTAAGTTCCATATACAGATCTTTTCCTTCCATCCCTAAATTTGTATATTCCAAGAAGCCCATTTGTTAAAAATTATGAACGGAAGGATTGAAAGGAGAGAAATATTTCTTTCCATTTAAGAATCGCATAAAAATGCTCTGAATGTATATTTGACATTATCATCTGCTTCACAGATTTCTTTGGGTGGTGTCCATTTAAATTGTTTTACTCTGTGCCACATGGACTCTGTGAAGCTATCAGCTGGTCTTCACTGGGGGACATGTGGCAGAAGAGAGCTGAGAGGTAGTAGGAGGTAGGAGTGGGGGGCAGGGAGAATCATTGAGAGTAACCAACACTTGTTCCCAGTCCGGGGCCTGGGATTCACGGAAATGTCAGCATCACTCTTGTGAGGACTTATGTACCAAGAAAATTTTCTTTGGAGGCAAATTTGCCTTTATCTTCAAACCAAACAAAATCAAAACAGCCAACAGCCAAATGCAGGCTTTTCTTTTGTGGGGCAATGTTTTCTGCAGAATATTGATAGGTGTTAGGAACAAAAAGGTTCTGTGGTCAAGCAAATTTGGGAAATGCTGTATTTTCCATAAACCTGTTTCTTCAATGTAGGACTTGTCAAACTTTAGCATGCTAATGTGTACTGTGATCCAAGAGAAGGAATCTATTAACTTTTCCCAAACTCATACACTCTTATTCTTTTGATTTTGGGTGTATGTATATTAACAACTTTGGAAAATGCTAGTCTTGGAGGTATAGTCTTCTATTGATACTGAAGTCAGGAAAAGCAAAAGTGGTTCTGTTTTGTATTTTGGGTTCAGATGTTAGCTTGTAACTTGTCCTTCTTCAGGGTACTTCAGTCAAAAGCTACCTTCTAATATTGGGAGGTGGATGTGGCAGAAATCATTATTGGGCATTTTAAGTGACAAATTCTAAACTGAGATGCTTTTCTGAGCAATCTTTGAGTAGAGCTGGTTCTTTCCTTAGACTGCTTACAAAGCTTGCAAAATAGCAGGTGTTGGCTGAGAGATGAAAATTGTGTTTATAGGTCTTAGTATTTTCCCTCTTAGATTCCTCAAACCTTTCACCTTTGTAAGGGCTGTCATCCTGGAATGAGACCCATGCAGCCTTCCTTCCTGGACGCCAGCTGAAGGATCTCCAGTTGCCATCCATGCCCCGCCTCCCCTTCTTGGAGCTGATGATTTACTGCTGTAGTCTAAGCACTGGAGAATGTCCTTAATGAGCCTTAGGACTGGGGGCTGTGCTTGGAGCTGCCTCTAACCACAACTATTCTTAGTGAAAAAAAAAAAAAAATTACCAGAAAACTAAGACCCCAGAAGAGGACCTCTGATGGAGGAGTGGTGGGTGTTTGAAAAAAGAAGGTAGGGCAGCATTCCTGGTCATCCATAACTTAAAACAAACAAAGACAAATCATATCCGACTGTAGTCAATTGCTCCTGTAAGAGAAGGAGTGTAATTCAAAGAGGTTTATGTATTTTGGCGGAGGATGGCGTGTGTGTGGGAGTTTGAAAGCATAGAATAACATGAGTAGGAACCAGCTCCAGTGGCTGGGCAGCTCGTGCTTGCTCACTGCGTCCTGCTAATGTACCTGGAGCCAACCTTTTTTTGCCTCCTTTATCCCTATTTGATCTCTTCCATGTCTGAGGCACCAAGGGGTGTTGGAAGAAAGGCTGCATGTATCTGACATAACATCTTATATTTTCACAATTAGGAACCATTTTAAAACACAGTCGAATATTATGCTGTTACTCTCTCTCTCTTTTTTTTTTGACAGGCTCTCACTCTTGCCCAGGCTAGAGGGCAGTGACACGACCATAGCTCACTGCAACCTCAAATTCCTAAGCTCCAGCAATCCTGAGTAACTGGGACTATAGGTGTCTGCCACTGTGATTGGCTATTTTATTTTTTTTGTAGAGATGAGGGTCTTTCTCTGTTGACCAGGCTAGTCTCAAACTCCTAAGCTCAAGCATTCCTCCTCCCTTGACCTCCCAAAGTATTGAGATCATAGATGTGAGCCATGGTACCCAGCCCTGTCTTATTCTTATACCAAGCCTGTGAGCAAACATAGGATTTGTCTCCATTTTATATATAAGACAGTAAAACACAGAGACATTAAGATCTTATGCCTGAAATTATAAAGCAAGTTAATGGCAGAGCCAGGAGGGGACTTGGCTTTCCAGCTATGGGTCCAGGCTTTTCTAACCCTTTGGGTTGCCACACTAACTTTTTGGGCTTTAACATTTCACATGAAAAAGGACTGAGTTGTGGTCATGCTGGTCCACTCAGTACAGGCTGAATCAAAATTGTTAAATGTGTTTATTAGAAAACTTTTTTGAGTCACCTTTCAGCTGTGGGGCTTAGGTTGGGATTGTGAAATAAATGAAGACCACTCAAATTAGAACAAGCAAAGGCTATTTACATATAACTTTGTCTCACAAGGGAGTCAGTCACCACCACTCATATTTGGCAGAGACTCGAAAGCAGGCATAGGAGTGGGAAAGTTTCACAGTAGAAAAAGGAGAAGACCTTCAGTACACCTTGATGAGGCTGTTAGCATAGGGAAATCACAGGTGGGCTAATTGGAATGGGCGTCTATGTGATTAGTTAAGGGTGCTTATTTGGTTTTCTCCAGTTGGCCGTAAATTGGAAGTGGGAACAAAAATAAGGGAAGCAGTCAGTGTCAAATGTTGAGTCCTGACCCTTTTGCATCAGTTGCTATAGAGATTATTGTTTGGCTTTCTGGACTGGTTACTACAGAGAGTAGGTTGGCTTCCTGGGCTGGTTGCTGCAGGTTATGGGTTCTGGTTTTATTTTTATATATAATCAACCCGTTGTCCATTTGTACATTTAGCTTCTCAGGATTGAGGGGGAGTGAAAGAATAGGGAGGGGATCTGGGAAGTGCATGGAGTGAGGGTTCTGGCACCACTTGGGGGTTAACATTTTGCCCCCACTTTTTTGGTCAGGTACTGTTGGTGGTTATCAGGAGATAGAAGGGGTTAAGAGCTAATCCTATAGTCTTAATATCCTCTCTTGCTCAATTTCATTTCATTTGACAATATTAGTTTCTGTTGTGTGATGATTACTTTTTTTTTTTTTTTTTTTTTAAAGTGATGGGGTCCTGTTATGTTACCGAGGCTAGTCTCCAACTCCTGGGCTCAAGCTGCTTTCCCACCTTAGCCTCCCAAGTAACTGGGGCTACAGGCACACACCACCATCCCTGGCTGAGAATGGCTTTAATGCAGTAGACTATTGCTTACTATTTCCAAAGTAGTGAACTTTCAGATGCTATTAGCAAATGTGGACCCAGACCTTGGCTACCTGGTCCTGGATACTCTGGGTATTTCTTGATTCTGGTTCCTTGGAGAGATTCTACTTTGGAGGAAATGGGGAAGGCTTTTAAAAGAAATGGATGTAAGAAAGAAATTTTGAAGAATGGGTAGCTTTGGGGGCAAGTTAAAAATATGCTGAAAAGTGAAAAAGGCAGGGAAATAGGAGCAGTGTGGGCAAATGTATGAAGTGGAAATATCATGTGTCCACGGAATGGCAGATAGCCTGGTATAGGAATGAGATTGGTATGGGGTGAGATTGGAGGGACCTTGAATGTCATTTTTAGGAGCTTGGATTTTATTGGTGTTGGAAGCCTTAATGTTTTAAGCAAGATCTGAAATCCAGCCTGGGCTACGTAGTTAGACCCCATCTCTACAAAATAAAAAAAAAAAACAGAAAAAACAAAAAAAAACTAGCCAGTGTTGTGGCACTCCTGCAGTCCCAACTACTCAGGAGATTGAGGTGAATGTAAGTTGATTGTGCCCAGGAGTTTGAGGCTGCAGGAGCCATGAATACACCACTGCACTTCAGCCTGGGCAACAGGGCAAGACCCTGTCTCTAAAAAGGGAAAGAGAGAGGAAAAAATGATCAAAATTGCATATTTAGGATGATTACAATGGCAAAAGAGTGTGTGTTGACTTTGAAGAACAAGACAAGGTTGCAAGTGGTGGAAACTGATGCTTTCAATAATGAAGAAATCAGTTTTAACAGAAATTAACACGTCTTTTGAAAGGCAGCTGTCAGCATACTTCCAATTGAATGTTTTGAGGACATCCGGCTTTTATATTGACATAAGCATGAACCCACCCCAGATCCCACGTGGAAGTTCTGAAGGTATACCTCAGGCTCAGCTGTGAGCCCAGGTAAGGTCATCAATAGCCAATTTTAAAATGCAGCTGATAACAACAGGAAAGACCAAGGGGAGGGGCTATGAGGAGTGAAGGCAGGAAGTACAGTGAGCTGAGAAAAACAGCTTAGTTTGTGTGGCAAACGGTAACAGGGTATAGAATGAATGATTATACAGCAAAATAAGAGGAGAAACTTCAAATTATTCTGTTATAATGTGTCCTTACAAACCTTGGATTCTTATTTTAAAAAATGTTAAATTATGTCAAGATTTGACTAAATCTGTATTGATTAAAAATCTAGCTTTTTGGAACAAATGTGTAATATTAGATTATTGTAAGTATTCTAAAAGGCTTCAAATAAGTGCATCATTTTGACATGGTGCATGAATTAATCTTACTGAAACAATCAGATGAGTTTTTGAAGTGTGCATGAGGATGCTTATTATTTACAATGGTGAAAAAATGGGCACAACAGAAAAATAAATATGTTATGATATATTCAAGCAATGGCATACTATGTAGCCTTTAAGATGATATGACTCTATGTTGACTTGGAAAGACATCCATGGCATGCTAAGTTTTAAAGAAAGGAGGTATCCAAACTTTGGATATAACATGTTCCCATTTTTGTGCTTTAAATATGTAAATATTCTTATATATAAACATCTGGAAGGCTACATAGCAAAGGCTAACAGTGGTTTGATCTAGGCTGTTTGACACAGGCTTCTCTATTTTCTTATTTCCCCCATTTTCTGAAAAAATTTTTTTTGCCACGAGGAAATAGAAATTCATTTAAAAAGTTTACTTCTGTTAAAAGAAATAAAATGATATAATTCTCTTGGAACGTCTTTAGAATAGAAAGAGTGTTTAATAAACATCTACATATTTATAAATACATATGTAGTGTACGTGTGTTTGGGTTTCTGTGGCTAAATATACATGTCTATGTAAAGGCTATATATGCATAGGAAACCTAGAAAATATACTTTTTTGATGTGGTCAAATTTTCTTTTGCAAAAAGATTAAGTGACTCTGTGTAATGGTGTATTTTTCCCCTTAGAAATTATAGTCCTTTCCAGGTGGGAAAAATCACTGCCTCAGCCCTGGATCTTTCAACCAAGCCTTGGAGAGTGGTTGCATAGCAACTACTGTTGACGTAAATGACCAGTCCTGGTTCTCTGGGGGATGATATTGACTTGCACAATAAAATGATGCATTCAGATACTTTTCCAGCTATAGTAGGATAAAAGAGCTAGGACCTTTTGGGAGCCATTTGAAAAAAGACTTGGTGAAATGGAAAGCATTCAGTTTGTTCTGTTAGAAATGATGGACTGAATACAGGACAGCTTTGAACAATGAAATTCAACGATGCAAACTCCTCAAGAAAGGAATCATTTTCCCTTCTTTTCATCAATGCTCGTACTAGGTACCAAGTGCTGTACTAGTTGCTAGGGATATAGTAATGATAATAAGCAGTCTCTACCATCTGGGAACTTATAGGACAGTAGGAAAAACACAAAAGCTAAGAATTCCAATACCTGATGCTAAGTGATCGAAGTATACAGGATGGTGTTATGGGACACAGAGAAAGACTATCCAATGCCACCTTGGGATTGTTCCATAAGCCTTTCTTGAGCAGTGACTGTGTGTTTTGGCATAGGGATACAAAGATGAATGAGGTTTGGCTCCTGGCCATAAGGATTTAAAACCTGACAGAAGAGACATATAAACAATTCAATCTAATACAATGTGGTAAATGCTCAGCTGGCAGAGGGATTAAAGTATGAGAGAACAGAGGTAGAGATTAATGAATGAATTAATGCCTACTTAATACTCTATTGTTTGCAAAACCCTTAAAACATATGTGATCTCATTTGATGTTTATGGACAGGTAGGATTTATCTCTATTGATGAAGAAACTCAGGCTCAAAGATGTTGTGATTTGTCTAAGGTTGGTGTCATAGTCTGCTTGAACTGTTGTAATAAAATACCACAGACTGGATACCTTAAGCAATACAAATGTATTTATTATTATTATTATTATTGTTATTATTTTACAGTTCTGGAGGCCAAAACTCCCAGATCAAGGTCCTGTAGAGTTGGTTCCAGGTAAGGGTTCTCTTCCTGGCTTGCAGATGACTACCTTCACAAGGTGTCCTCCCATGGTAGAGAAGGAGAGAGAGTGAACAAGCTCTCTAGTATCTCTTCTTATAGGGATACTAATACTATCTGACCAAGGCCCCACCTTTTTAAAAATCTTATTTAACTTTAATTACTTCCAGGGAGGCCCCATGTCTAAATACAGCCATGCTGACAGGTTAAGTCTTCAAAATAGGAATTTTGGGGGAACACAAACTCAATGCATAAGAGTTGGGCTATGAACTTAGGGGCTTCAGCCAACAAATTGTGTGTGTGTGTGTGTGTGTGTGTGCGCGCGCGCACACCCTTGTGTATTTCCTTCACCATATTAGATCTAAGAGGCATTTTTTTCCCAATGTTATGAATCTGTGACTTCCTCTTAACACTGAGGACATAAACAGGTCTGGCATTTGGGGTCTCTGGCTACTCTTCCTTTCCCAGCTTGTCTTGAGGACTTGCTGACATGCAGTCCTTTCCACAGTGCTTTCCTTGGGCTTATGTACAGTCCATCCATACCCATTTGGGGCTTGTCACTTGGGATCTTTAGTTTTGAGGACAAGGTGGGATAATAGTGGAGATCATGACCTGGAGGCTAGTTCTATTTAAAAAGAGTTGGATGCCTGGGGCAGGTCCCCATTGCCCTGTCCAGGATGAGACTGCAGCCTGCTCCAGGACCATTTAGAGGAGTAGGAAGGAGGTGGTGAAGGTAGCCCAGGTGGCAGCCAGGACTACAGGGCTGGGAAGGGAATTTTGCCCAACAGCAGCAGCTGCTATTCCATGTTGGGCTTCCTGTCTTCTTACCCTCCCAATCAAGGAGCACAGTTAATGTGTGGGGCTGGTGTGCCCCTTTCCTGGCTTCCTCCATCTATGCCTCACGTTCAAATTACTAGGGGGACATTTAAATATTATTAGTGCTCACCCCATCCTGAGAGATTCTGCTTTAACTGGAGTGGGACTTAGGGTCCCTATTTTTGGAAAGCTCCTTAAGTGATTTCAACATGTGGCCAAGGATGAAAATTGGACACATTCCCTCTGCCCCATTTTCGAGGGGGGTGGGGCAAATGCTGTGATTCCCAGGCTCCTACAGCCCCATCCAACTTGATTCTCTCAAGACCTGTGGGATAGAAGGTATCATTCCCTTGCATTTGGCCTGTGAGTTGGGAGGCTTTTGTGGGTAGGCAGGTTTAGGTAGAAAGAAAGGCCAGTCTTGGTATAAGGAAATCAGGAAGGAATGATATTGTGTTCTTGCTTTTTAGAGCAGACAGGATTTCATTCAGTTATTCATTGAACAGTATTTACTGAACAGCCCCTCCATGCCAGGTGCCATACCAGGGGATGGGTTAAGAGCTAGCCCTTGACACGTGACACCCTCTGGGGCTCAGCCTTAGTGATTCTTTGGAGAAGCGTGTGTTGTCAGAGCACTGTGGAACTGGAAAAGATACTGCCAGGCATGGTTTTCTTTGCCTACACGACTCAAATACTGAAAGAATGAAAGTAATTTATTCTTCCATTTAAAATGAAGCCTAGTCAGAATTTGTAATCTTGCTGAGATGTAAATTCACAAACCATAGCAAAAGATAATTATGGCAAATTGAAATTATAGCTTGATGACCAGGAAGAGAGAACACATCACGCTAGACTCACAAATTCTACTCTGGCAAAGCTGATGGCTCTGACACCCATGAAGTCCATCCATCTCTGCGCAGGGACATTCCGCTAAACCAAGCCAACTGATATCTCACATTCTGAAGATTTTTTGAATATTACTAAGGCATTTTCCATTGTTTTGTTTTAATTCAAGTGGGTTTTTATTTGAGACTTAGAGGTCATAAGTTTCATATCCTCAGGCTTGATTTGAACAGCCACGGCAGATAGTAAACAACGGTCTCATTTTCTTGTAACAATAGTTCATGACATTGTGGTAATAAGCTACGCTTAGCAGCTGAACATAACAAAAAAACGCATGGTCTTTGGAGTTGAACTGGCCCAAATATGAATCCTGGTTCTTTCATTTACTTTGTTGGGATCTAGGGCAAGTTACTTAAGCATTTTAAGCCTCTGTTTCTTCATTTTAAAAATGGGGATAGCAATGTGAAAGAGTATATGTATGCCTTGAGCAGTGGCTAGTACGTAACTGGTTTTTGATAAATATTCCTTTCTCCATGTGTAATGACATGACACATGGCACATCTCAGGACCCTGGTTTAAGGATAAGTGAAGCACACAAGAGGTCTTAGTTGAAATTTTGCATTGGAAAAGGAGATTTTATAATTTCCACCATGAATTATAAATATCTAAGGAAAAGAAATGGTGTGTTTCTTATGCTTGTAGATTGACTTTAATCCTGTACGCTTGTGAATAGTTGAATAGTAGGCAGACACAACGGCTTTATGTTAAAGTAACAAGACAAACAATAATACCTGTCAATAGAGCCTGCCTTCTGTGCCACACACTTTGTATCTTCTTATTATTTTTAAGGCAGAGTCTTGCTCTGTTGTCCAGGCTGGGGTGCAGTGGCATGTTCACAGCTCACTACAGTCCCAACCTCCTGGTCTCAAGCAATCCTCCCACCTCAGCCTCCTGAGTAGCTGGAACCACAGGCACGTGCCACCATGCCCAGCTGATTTATTTTTATTTTTGTAGATATTTGTCTACAAAAAATATTTCTCCCTTCAAAATATTTTGAAGAGAAGATGGGGGACTCACGATGATGCCCAGGCTGGTCTCAAATTCCTGGGCTCAAGTGATCCTTCTGCCTCAGCCTCCCAAAGTGCTATTTTATCCTCATAATAACTTTTATGAGAGGTGTTATCTGTATTTGCAAATAAATAAACTAAACAGTGGACAGGTTAATTGTCTTTCCCAAAGTCACACAAACAGTGGTAGAGGTGGGATTTTTAAGCTAAGGTTTGTCAGTACATCACTGGAGATGGTGGCTATCATATTAAGAATGTTATTTCTTAAGCTCAGTCATGAAATTAGCATTCCAGTACCAATATGCTGGACACTTGCTGAATAAATGAATACATAGAATCAGTGCCTGAAAGCAGGGAATGCTTAGTTATTTAGCACAATTATTTCTTAGATGAGGGCTTGAGCCAAGTGAATGCGGTAATGGCCCCTAATGAACCCAGGGCCCTTGGGTCAGTGGCATCTGCAATGCAATGATTACATGTTAATAATTTCAATTTGCATTGTAGTTCAGGAAATGGATAGACAATTCTTATTGCTTTGCCTTTGTTGGACATTTTGGTTGAGTACAATTTTTCCTTATTGCCTTCTCAATACTTTCCAGAATACTTTCTTATTTTGGTTTAACAGTGTTTGCAAGTGTATCCATTGAGTGATATGTATGGTTTTATGACATTGATATTCTAATGACACATAAGGGCTTCCAGATTTGTAGTAAGTCTAGAATTCATCTCCAGTGACTACACTGAGCAAAAACAGAATATGTACTTTGTAATGATAAAAACTTTTAGTAATGTTTCTCTAATTAGCTTAATGATTTCAACAACTGATCTTTAATATGCATGAGCTTAATTCCTGTCAAGAACAGAAATCTCAGATTCCTCTGAAGGTCTCCCTTCATACTTATCTTCAATAATTTAATAAATGTGTATGAGTCTATAGTTGCTCATGTTTTCTCCATTTATATGCATTTATCCAGGTCAACATGTGGTTAGAGTGATGACATGCAAAGGAAATTCAGTCCTCTTGACTCAGAGCCAGAGGCCTGAGTAATGTATAAACATTCCTGTGTCTGAGATTTGGGGGTTGAAGAAGGTCTCTGGACCTGTCCCCTCAAAATGTCAGGAGCTTACTGCATTTCCCAAAAGGATCATGCTTAGAAAATGTAGGCTTTGTTGATAAAAAATACATAGTGATCATTACTTTGACATTTGAAGTATCTGGCTCTTTTCAGATTAGGCAGATGATAGCAAAAGGTGATTGGTGGTGTTGAGGAAGGAGAGAGGGGCTGATGAATAGGGTATGAATAATAACCCTTTACTGAGGCAAGCAAACAGAGCCCAACAAACAATATATGCGAAAAAACTGTTAAAAACACAGTAACACAAAACCTCACAGGGCTCCACAGAAATACAACCCAAAACAAACTCCAGACCTCCTGGCTTAACATAATTCCAGAAAAGACCCAGTAAGGGTCTGAATAAAGTGTCCATGGCCAAGAGGAACTGACAGTCAGACTCCAGGGGTCCTCATATTTCTGGTTTCCCGTTAGATTTTGTCTCCCATCTCATGCAGTAGGATCTGGCAAGAGAGATACAAAAGACTCAGCAATTCAACGTTCAGAAAAGCTGGGGGAAGAAGCAAGGCCATGCCCCTCTGTTAGTAATCCTCTGTGCTTTAGACCACAGTGTGAGAATTCGGAGGCGTGGGGGCAAAAGGAGGCTGCAGCAGGAATCTTGGCCTGGGATTAGTTTGAGGGTGTTTTGCATAAAAGTATTTACTTTGGGAAGATAATATTAGCTCAATTATTTCCCATGGAAACTGGAAAATAAACTCCCACTTAACTAAACACACGCACATACTTCGTTTCTATTTGCACTCTTTTCCTGACTAGTGAGTGAGAAGGGTCTGTGTGCATGTGCGTATGTGTATGTGTGTCTGTGTGCATGTGTGTGTGTGTACATGAGTATGTATGCTTCTTTGTGGCCCTATTTTTGCTTTGATTTATCTTATTTCATTATTTCATGCTTGCTGCCTAGCAGACATGGATGGATGGATTTTGATCAGGGTAAAGGCAGTTTGCCCACTATCTGCCATGGCAGGACTTAAGCCTACCAGTCAGTAGGCCTTCCTGAAGTTCAGCTTGTCTTGTCAAAATGCTGATGCATCAAGATTGATGTGTTTTGAGTAGGAATTATTTTTCAAAGTCTTGTTTGGGCCAGCTCTGGTCTGGTGCCATATCTTACATAATGTGTATCATGAATCTTCACTGAGAAAGA